CTTTGCTCTGATTACACGGAAAGACACAATCATGAACTCTCAGAAGTCTCCCGTTGTGGATTGCACGGCCGAACTCGTCTCAAAAATTCAGGAATCTCTTTCCACCCCCAGTAGCCATCGTTCATCGGTCTCCCTTGTAGGGATACGTGCAGAAGTACAGCTCACAAGCCTCAGTGTGAATTCACGGCTTACGCTTCAAGACTGTCTGTGCGTCCACCACGCCGGGACTGGGTGGAAGTTGTAAATTACGCGAGAAGTAGCCATACCGGACGGTGGAGTAGTACGGGCCGGAATGTCCCTCAACGCCTGTGGGGTCTGCGACTCTAGCTACACCAAGTGCTCTGGCTGTCCGTAGGAATTTCGGGCAACAGCGTGCGTCGCACGCGGTTATGGCCGACCTGGGTCCGGTACGTTTGAAGGGCGAAAGTGAGAACCGGCGTCTTTGATATAGCCTTGCTGACAATATGTTTTGGACAATGATTATTGTCCAGGGTCTATGACAGCGTAACTCGTGCCACCCCCTCGCCGCTTTACATCTGCTTTGTATCTAGTAGTATATAGGTTAAGGGCTCGCAGCCCAGGATCCTCGTCCCCTCGCCCTTTGGGAGCTCGCGCTCCTCGAGCTTTCGTTTTTGCACCCACCCTTCCGCTGCCCCATTTTTGGTTTCGCTTAGCTACGTCTCATGTATCAGGTACATTCGCCTTCCGCCGGCTTGAGCTCGGCCCACCGGTCGCGCGAGAGAGCGGTGGCGACACGGACTCGGTGGTCCCGCGCAGCTTCCGTAGCGCGCGCCCAATACCATCGTTTTCCGTCCTGCCCGAGTATAGCGTGCATAGATAAGTCGCTCCTCCCGGGCTGAGCGCTCAGGCTTCATGCAGTGCAGGTTTCATACCTGAGTTTTGCCGCAGAAGCTGATTCGTAATTTACAGACAGTTGGATGCCAACGATATATTGACGGATTCTCGACTGCGGTCTGTCATGGTATAACATCATATCCGATCCACACGATTTTCTGGCGTGTGGCCCGCCGCTCGGAAAGGCTTCACAACAACCACACTCCCCATCAGCGTTCAAGGCCGCGGGGCGGTGTACAAGCTGTCGATCTACTTCCCTCAGGGGCAGCGATTTCGTGAAGGCGAAGCCCGTGTGAGCGCCTCATCTGTCTCTCACTCATTCATTCTAGTGCACAGTCCCAGGTATCGGAATGTCTTATAGCCTACGGTAACGACCCGGGACATTCTCGGTCATCTTTCCGATCTTTTTCTCTTGTCCTATCATCCATCTCATCGAGAACTGCTCTGTTTCCCCCTTACGAATCATCCCCCAAGTTGCGGCACTGCGCCCCGAGGCACTGATCTGACCTGAAACTGCGCCTCTCCCAGAGTCCCTTCCTTCTTCTATCGATCGTGATGGATGTATCGAACACTCTTGTTGGCAATGCGCCTACAGACTGTATGTAGACGTCGCTTATCATTTTCGTGGTACACACGATGTATGCGGCAAGGTGTTAGGGCGGTATATACATAGTTGACCAGTATCGCTCTCGTCCAATCAAGACGTGTTAGTGGGTAACCAAACTCCCGAGCTTACAGCCCGACGACCGCACCCACCGCCACAGCGACAACGGCAGCGGCGCCCATCTTGACACCTGCGAGCGCCGTTGGGATAGCCGCGTTGCTTGTCTGGCTTGCCGCAGCGCCCGAGGTGGTAGCGTCAGGGGTGGTAGAGGTGGCAGGGGTGGTAGAGGTGGCAGGGGTGGCAGTCCCTGAGACACCTGATGTCGCAGATCCGCTGGGGGCGGTGGATGACGTAGCCCCAGAGCTGATGACTATGCCTGTGGCGGTGATAGATGTGAAGACGTTCGGTTTGTATGGGTGAGCAGGAATGAGGTCAGGATGGGGAATCCGACGATATATTGGGATGGTGAGAGGGAGATGTGGGAGGATGGGGTATGAGCGTGAGCAATGAGCTAGCAGTGGTGGAAAGGGGTGAGGAGGACGCACTTGACGCTCCGATGACCGCTAGAAGTAAAAGATTATGTCAACCAATGTTCTGCCGTACGTCCAAACATAGAATACAACGTTCACAAGGATGCAGACGAAGAGGTGTTACGGGTAGTAGGAGCGTGGGTGTCCGCGCTGGTGACGGACGTCCTCGAGCATCTCGGTCCCCGCTAATCGGAGGCGCCACAATAGGCTTTCGGGTACGGAAAATTGGTGTGGCGTGGGTGCGAGTAAGACATTCAAAGAGAATTGAGAACGCGAGTAAGGTGATCGCGCCCGCGGGTCTGGGAGCATACTGAACATAAGCTCTCGCCTGACAGATGGAGTGTTTCGCGGGGCGGAAGAAAGATGGTACAGTCTCCGACAAGAGACTGAGAGACGTGAAGCATATTTCAGGAAAGGAACCAGGAACCACCATACGACCAAGGTCTCAGATGAGATGCGCGGGAACCAGACAATGGACAGAGATAGGGACAGGAACGACAACCAGGATACTCACAAGCACACTCTGTGTTGACCAGAGATTCGGCGTTTTGAAGGTCTTGCGCGGTGCAACTCTTCTGAAGACAAGCGATTGCTGTCTGCTGCAGTGCAGTATTTGTGCAGAGACACTTCGTATCCGTCCTGAAAGTGAGGTGTGTGGGGTTGTCAGTTCATATCAATGCCAGGTCAATGATGGTCGAGCATCATGGGACAGCGGTGAAGACAAATAACGAAGGATTCGTGCACGTACAGGGAGCATCCATTCGAGCTCGCCGCCTGGGTAATGCAGTTGATGACGCACGGCGAGACGTTCTGCGCCTGAACGCCGGCGAAAGCGGCGACAACGGCCAAGACAGAGATAAGCAAAAGATGCATGCTGGGTAGGCGAGGTGGGGGTAGTCACTAGGGGTAAAGAGGCTGGACTCCGAAGGGAAGGGAGCTGGCCTTATAGGCGGACGAAGACAGGCGACTTCGGACGCTCCGGAATGCTGAACGTGAATATTCTGACCAATCCGCGTTCTATCACGTTTATGTGGCGTGCATTTAATGACCTAGTAAATGGTGCCTTCGACGCCTGGAGGTTCGAAGCTTACCTCGACGGACAGATGGGCGCTAGATGGAAGACCGGACATGGGAGATACGAGCCCCAGATCATCTCGGATAGCTTGGCACATGGAATCTGCGAGGTATGACCGGCTGATATGACGGAATTGCGTACCCAGTCGAGCAACGCTAGCCAGTGACGAAACCGAGAGACGGGGACTTATCGCCTCACTGCGCGGCAGGACCCCGGAATTAGTAGCCTGAATCAGATTCTCGTTGTTGAACAGTCCGACCGCGGTACGATCTGCTTCCCGCTCTCAGCGACTAGGTACCCCATCTTATGGAACACATTGGTTGAATTGGATGTCTGTTGGGCTGATGAAGTATCGCGAGGCTGCGGTGCAGCGCTTGAGGCTGTGAATGCGGCACGACTCCGGCAGGAGAGGATCTTAGTCGAGAGCGCGAAGACGTCGTATAGCCAAACCCCTGCGCGGCGTAAGGTAGGCTGGTAGGAATCCGGAGATGAGATGCGACGTCCAAAGCAGGTATTACCATCCGCATGCGTGCCTTACGAGGTTGAGTGAACTGTTGCACGACGAAACCACAAACGAGTTTGCTCACCATAAGGCTACGACTTCTGCGCCACCCACGCACTGCCAAAACCTGTCATGGACGTGGGGAACACCGAATAACACCTAACACCGATGAGCCCAGACATCTGACGTAGGAAGCATGGCACTATTCCCCGTTCGCCATCTGGTCTTATCCTTCCCTTCACTTGCTTCTGCTTCTGAACAATGTGGGGAGAAGCGATGGGAGAAGCAACGGACGGCATAACGTACTGCATTCCCTAGCCATTCATAGGCAATTGGCAGTCTATGCTATGAGTTCCGGGTCGAAAATGAAGACATCTCCCAGGAAGCGTGCTGCACGTGCAGTTGGAGTAGTGGTAGTTGAGCTGCCCTTCGGACTCGAAGTCCATGATGGCAAGGAAATGTATCGTGGGAGGTTGCCAGGAATCTGCGGGGCTCCGCTGACCCCCAAATATCACCAAACAATACGCAAACGCTTGAATTCCCACCCGTGTGTGCACATAAGCTCATGTTTTCGCACTTGCTGTTCCTTCCAATCCAATGTTCGAATCTATCCGGCTGCCTAAATACTCACAAACAGTCTCTTCTGAGCTAAACGGAAGTGTTTACATGACACTATAGGTCAGACATGTCTAGTCCTGGGGTCAGCCTTTTCGATGTAATCATCAAGACTACATAGTCACATGAAAATGAGGGAAGGCTGCACACAACATCTCGACAAGTCGACCCGCATCATCAACCACTACTTCACGAGAAAGCGTGCGCGTAGGGGATAGCCCCTCCAATGCTACGTGAGCAAAAGTTCTGTTCTCTGCAAGGCGGATTTCCAGGCGATCGAGCTCGTCGTTCGTGACGTCTGCGAAGTCCACTATCAAAGTTTCCAGGTGGGGGCAGCATTCGATGAACGATATGAGGGAGGTGAGCGAAGGGCGAATACCCTTCATTTAAATCTCCTCGGTTTCGTCCTCCCACCATAGCGGGCCGTAATCGAGGGAAAGAGGGACGAGAGAGGAGGCCAAGTCGATGCGACAAGCTTCAAATCGTCTTCGCTCACGTCGAGCGCATGTGCGAGGGACGCCTCGAAGTAGAATGAGATGCTGTGCAGATGTACAAGGGGAAGGAGAAATTTCAGGATGTCCCCGAAGGCCACACTGACCAACGGCTGGGAGGCGCCATACGGACCGATATTGAGCTTGATGTCTAGTCTGAAATGCCGCAGCCCGCGCAGTTCAGAGAACGCGAAGAGCGTTTTCAAGCAGTGGAAAGCCACTCCGATGGAAGTTTCATTGAATCCCAGAGACAGTGAGGTCAGGGTGACTGACGTGATAGAGGGGAGGATTGCCAGCGTAGTGTAAGAATCCCGGAGGAGATTGAGTCGCAAATGCCGTAGACCAGGGAATCCGGTCCGTAAGGACATGACTTGTTGTTCCCTTCCACGACTCGTCCATGACACATCAAATGATGTCAGGTGCGGAAGCTGGCCGAAGTCATACAAGCTAGATAGATCAGTTCCCAAGTAAAGCCGGGTCGAGCGTAGGTTGCGAAACTCGACCAAAGCTTTCACCGCCTCTTCGTGACTTCAACACGGATGTGGGACACGTCCGGACGAGTGACTGATAGAATTCCAAGAGCTTACAGATGCGAGAGGCGCTGTCCACGAAACTATCACGGATGACGACACAAGAGAGTGCCGCGATATCAAAGGAAAGATGGGGAGAGGACCGGAAGATGGAAGAATATAGTACATTGAGTCACTGTACGTTTGCGAGAGCATAAACGTTGGCGCAAGGTGATTGCATACACCTAACTCGTATCTTACGTTTACACATCTTGAGGGGCTGTGTTATGGACCTTGGATGAGAGAGCTTGATGAAAAGCAGTGGACACGGGGTATCTTACCGGGTGGTCGATCAATGAACTCCTCGCGCAAGTACCATGCCCCTACGGCAATGCATGTTGGCGGCCCGGAATGTATTTAGAGAAGAGGTGTGAACCTACTGTCTCCATGCTGACTCTTCTCGGCCCACGTCTGACCATCCCCGAGCCAAAAGAGCGAGTTTTCCTCGGTGTCAGCAGATTCGTATTCATAGTCTTCCCATCTCGGGTTTTGTAAGGCTTTCATTGCATGGAGGCTGGAACCTGTGGCGATTTCCAGTATGAGACATGGGAGAGGGGCGGATACAAGGTCTGAAGCACTTACCAGGCCACAGCCCGACCACTCGTCCATCCTCCTTACCTAGCTTGTACCACGAGCGACACTTCGCGCTATACACGGTCTGAAGGGAATCAATAGTGAGCAACATCCACCAGGAGAATGAACTTCTCCCACCTGAGGGAAGTAACTCTACTCAAAAAATTCCGACATTAGCTGCGCCAGAACCCAAGGATCCGGATGACAAGGATGACGCACCTCGACATACTTGTCAAAGTCTCTTACAGCCTTCGGCTTCACCTCCATGCTCTTCAGACGCTCGCGCTGTATCTTCGCGGTTGCCTGTACCGCATACATGACCGCGAACTCAAGGATGGGGAGCAAGAGCCCAGCGCCAATGATCGAGTTCGGGCCGAGCGACATGAACATATTCGGGAAGCCGTCAACGCACATCGACAGGTACGAGGTGGGATACGGTTTCCATTTGTCGTTGAGTTCGACGCCGTTCCTGCCGACGATCTGGAATGGAAGCTGCCATGAGGTGTCGTAGCCTGTGCGTATGTTTAGTCAGACATTGAGTAAGCGCAATGGCGCGAAGTCGCACCCGTAGCACAGAACACAAGGTCGAGGTCCTTGTGCTTCCCGTCCTCGGTTCCGATGCCTGTTTCTGTGAACCTCTTGATGGGGCTAGATACGAAGTCGACCTGGATGATACAGAGCTTCAGGTGGCGATTGGTATACATAGGATTTGTTGGGGCATACGTGATCTGAGCAGAGGGCTTCGAGGTATCCGGGACCTGGTGTCAGCCGCCGACACGACACAGGGAAGCCGGGTATCACTGCAACATAGGGCGTAACGTCGAGTGAAGCTGCATGTATATCATCACGAGAAGATGAACCTCACGTTTTTCAGCGATGTCCGGTCTAGCAGCTAACTGTTCCTTCATGTTCTTCTTGAACATCTCTTGGAAATCATTCGACATCTTGCTCCCGAGCTGCGTGTATGCGTGCATCGACTATAACACTGGTCAAGAGCTGTATGAGGGAGTTCGGCTCGGCCGCTCACATTCATCGTGTCCTCGAGGGTGTGCCGAATGCTTCGAAAGAACTCCTCGTCTGCTTTGAACCGTTGAATCTCCTCCGGGCTCAACGACACTGACAATAATGTGATGCCAATGAATCTAGTAATACCATCAAAATGCATGCGTGACTCACGATCATCTTCCGTCGCCGCCGTTTGACGTCCCAGCAACTCGGACATCAGACCCACAGCGAAGGGAGGAGCCAGCCACGTTTGCCCCCTCACGTAGTTTGACAGCTCCTTCACGTGGGGCGCGAGTGCCGAGACGACTTGGATCGCCGTCGAGCCCTGATACATTCCTCAGTGACATGGAGCATGCGCTCATTGTACGACTCACGGAGCCGATAACCCCCACTCGCTTGTCTTTCCACCTCTCCAGATCGTCCTCCCACGTCTTCCCCGACGGCGTGTAGCCCGCCGTGTGGTGCAGCTCGCCCTTGAAGTCGGCGAGCCCAGGTATTTCGGGCATGTTCCAGCGGGTGATGGCCCCAAAGGCGGTGATGAGGACGTCGCCGACGTCTTTTATCTCCTCTTGAGCACCAGTCGCTTGGTCTGTCCGGCGAACGCGCACGTGCCACTTGCCCGTCGGCTCGTCGTACTGCGCGCGGACGACTTCGTGGTTGAGCCTGATGTAGCGCATGAGCTTGTATTTGTTGACGACGTCTTCGAGGTGCTCTTGGATCTCGTGCCCAGGGGGATAGAAGGAGGTCCAGTCACGCTGTGAGGGAGCTTAGTGAAGTTACATGTGATGCAAATGAACACGCTTACTTTGTCCTCGAAGGAAAACTGGTACTATAGCGAGCGTCAGTAACACGATGATGGAAATCTCACCGTTGGAGACGTACGCAGTGCGCAGGCACATCGCAGGCGATACCTCTTCCAGCCCGGACTGCCGGTCAGCGCAGTACCGACTCGGTCAGAAATGGGACTCACGGATATTTATTGTTGTACCATGTCCCACCCACTCCGGCACTCTTCTCATAGATGACTAGGTCGACGTTGGGTATCTTCTGCGGGAAACTGAGGTCCCAGTCAGGATATAAAAACATTATTGTGGCGTGGCAACTACACACCGAATACCGGCCAGGATGCCGCTGAACCCAGCTCCAATCACGATCACTTTGATGAGTTTGTATTCGTCGATGGAGAAGCGACCCAGAGTGAACCTGCCATCCTGCTGTGCAAGCTCAAGCCCTGGTTCGGCGCAATTGCGAGAGAATCCACCCCCAGGCATGAGGGAAGTGACGCGTTAGCTCGTTTGTCACAAGGGCAAACATTGAGCTGACATTGCTTTATATATGCAAGCAATCAATAGCGCATTTACATTCATCGTCGCGTCAGCAGGGTGAGATGCGTGGAGTCGGAGAAGTCAATCGTGCTCCGACGGCGTCGTGAGCTGACATCTGCACGTTATGTCTGTACACCAAGAGCATGACAAACCACAGAAGAAGCAGAGGGAGTGCTAGTGTCCCCTCGCCCGAGGGTTCGGCTTTCTAAGAATAATGTAAAGTTCGCAGAAGTACACTTCCACGCTCTTACTCGGGAAGCTGCTCCACACCCTGAGAGGCCGCACAAATAGCCTATACTGTGACACTGTAGCATTAGACGACTGCCTTGACGTTTGGCCTTGACGTTTGGATAGGCACAGGCAGCCATCCGAGCTAGTAGTACATTACAAAACGAGGCGGTCGAGTGGAACAGGAAAGACCTTAAGCTAGTATCGGCAACGACGACAATAGCAGATACTCACGGGATACGGACCAGTGTGAGATTGAGGAGGGAAAGCGGTGAGAATCGAGTTCGTAGTCGTCTCACCAACGCAATGCGTTGTGGACACGCGACGCCTTCAGGGACAATCCTGGGCCGAGCATTCCCGTTACTTCTGATTGGATAATGGTGGAGATAAGATGAGATCAGGCAATCTCATCAAGCGCGTGCGTTCCGCGTTTTCGACCGACTTGATCGGATTCTCTCCACTCATCCGAATCCTCCTCTTCATTGAGTGCACGGAACACACATGGCGACATCCCAGATCATTGTGCAATAATCAACCCGACTAGGACCCGCGATTCTTCTGCTACCATTGGCAGGAGAATATATGTCTGGCGCATTCAAATTAGGCATAAGCTACTGTACCGCTGCGAGACTAGTCCAGCAGGAGTCAGGAAAGCGATTGCCATCACATACCCCGAGCATTTCGGTTACACATCTTGAGGAACTGATCCACAAGCGTTGGGTGAGAGACAGAATGACCAGTAGTGAGCCAGGCGTGTCTCACCGGGTGGTCGATCAATAAACTCCTCGCGCAAGTACCATGCTCCTGCGGCAATGCATGTTGGCGACCCGGGATGCTTTGAGATAAGCAGTTTCGACTCACTGTCTCCCTGCTGATTCTTCTCGGCAGATGTCTGACCGTCCCCAAGCCAGTATAGCGAGTTGTCCTCGGAATCAGCATATTCGTACTCATAATCCTCCCACCTCGGATGTTGCAGTGCCCTCATTGCGTGTACGTTGGAGCCTATCGAGAGTACAAAGAATGATTGCCAAGGGCACATCGACGCAGAAGTAGAATGCACTTACCAGGCCACAGTCCAACCACTCGTCCTTCTGCCTTGCCCAGCTTGTACCACGAGCGGCAATTGGCGCTGAACACGGTCTGAAAGGGATCCTATGTAAGACTCCTACACGGGAAAGAAAAGCGTTGCATACCTGAGGGAAGTAACTCTACACAGATGGAGGTCAGTTCCTAAGCCCTTTGACAATGCAGACGAGTACAACGCACCTCAATGTACCTGTCAAAATCCTTCACAGCCTTCGGCTTGGCCTCCATACTCTTCAAGCGCTCGCGCTGAATCTTCGCTGTTGCCTGCACTGCATACATGATCGCTTGCTCTAGTATCGGAAGCAAGGACCCAGCGCCGATGACTGAATTCGGGCCGAGGGACATGAACATGTTCGGAAAGCTGTCGACAGCCACCGACAGGTATGTCTTTGGATACGGCTTCCACTTCTCATTCAAGTCGACGCCGTTTCGCCCGATTATCTTGAAGGGAAGCTGCCATGAAGTGTCGTAGCCTGACCAGATCATGAGGTAGGTAGCGATTGAGTCAGGGAGATTGCGAGTCAACGAGGAGAAGAACATTCGCACCGGTGGCACAAAAGATAAGATCGAGGTCTTTGTGCTTTCCATCTTCGGTCTCGATACCTGTCGCAGTGAACCGTTTGATAGGACTCGATATGAAGTCAACCTAGCCAATTGACTCTTGAGTGCCGTCAAGGTGAGAATAGTGATTTGACTATACGTGATCCGCGCAAAGTGCTTCAAGGTATCCAGGACCCGGTGTCAGCCGTCGACAAGATACCGGAAATCCTGGAATCACTGGAGTGCGACGAACAGCGCCAGCTCAATTATGCTGTACACCACCACGGACAGGTCGTACCCACATTTCTCAGCGATCTCTGGTTTCGTGGCTAGCTTTTCCTGCATGTTCTTCCTAAATAGTGCCTTGAAGTCATTGGACATCTTACTTCCAAGCTGCGTATAAGCATGCATCGACTAGGATCATAGTCAGCAATCGCTCCTCGGGGTCACGTAGACTGCCCCTATACCCACGTTCATCGTGTCCTCGAGCGTGTGCCGCACAGTACGAAAGAACTCGTCGTCTGACTGGAGCCGTGAGATTTCCTCCGCGCTCAGCATAACTAGCATCGATTCAGGTCAAGGGTGTCCTGTAGCATTGACATGCATGCCATGCGCGACTCACGTCCGTCTTCCTCGACCGCCTTCTCGCGCCCCAGAAGCTGAGCAATCTGTCCCACAACAGACCGCGGAGACAGCCATGTCTGCCCCCTAACATAGTTCGAGAGCTCCCTCACATGAGGAGCAAGTGCCGAGACCGTTTGAATAGCCGTCGAGCCCTACAAGTTTTGAGGATGCCGTACATCCGCTGCCAAAGCATTTACCACTCACCGAGCCAACGACGCCTACACGCTTGTCCCTCCACCGGTCCAAGTCGTCCTCCCACGTCTTTCCCGACGGTTTATACCCAGCCGTATGGTGCAGCTCTCCCTTGAAGATGTCAATGCCGGGGATGTCGGGCATCTTCCAGCGGGTGATAGCGCCGAACGCTGTGACCAGTACATCCGCGACGTCTTCGAATTCATTTAGCGCCCCTCCGCTTTCTCCTCCGGCACCCGTTGGGCGTATACGGACGTGCCACTTGCCTGTGGGCTCGTCGTATTGAGCGTGGACTATCTCGTGGTTGAGCTTGATGTAGCGCATGAGTTTATATCTGTCTACGACGTCCTGGAGGTGCTCCTGGATCTCACTTCCGGGAGGATAAAAAGCGCTCCAGTCGCGCTGCGATTGAACTGAGCCTAGGCCGGGGTCATAGCCATGTATGCCCTTACCTTGTCCTCAAAGGAGAATTGGTACTGCAAACAAGGTGAATGTAGTGAAGGAGACGTTGCTGACGGACACCTACGCAATGTGCTGGGATGTCACATGCGACGCCTCTTCGAGCCCAACTCGCGTTCAGCGCGATCCTGCGTGGTGTGCGAGGGGATGGCGACTCACGGGTATCTGTTATTGTACCATGTGCCACCCACTCCGGCGCTCTTCTCATAAATGACTAGGTCGACGTTGGGTATTTTCTGCGGGAAACTGACGGCCCAGTCAGTATGCAAAGATCGTAGTGTGGCGAGACATCTACACACCGAATACCGGCTAGGATGCCGCTGAACCCAGCTCCAATCACGATCACTTTGATGGGCCTGTATTCGTCGATTGAGAAGCTCCCCAGGACAAATCTGCCATCCTGTTGGGCAGCCTCTGGCCCTTGCTGAGCAGGAACATGCAAAGATTCATCGTCAAACATGGAAGAAGTGATGCTGCGGGTGTCTGCCAGTGCTACAAGGGAATCACGTTCAGCGATGACTTGGCTTAGTATATATATGCGGGTTTTCGACGGTGTTTACCTCTATGATGGCGTCCGCTCGAGCACCAAATGGGCCTCGTGAGCAGACGTCGGATATGCGTATGGCCGGGTGCGAGGATATCACAAGGCCGCGGCCAAGCTTAAGTCGGAAGCGAAGGAGATGACAGCCCAGATGAGAAGGGAATCCCCAGCACTGTATTGAGATCAGCTATTATGCACCATGTGAGCAGTGCTCGCTGTGGGATCGTGCATAGAGGTCACGGTGAGAGTCGGTTACTCATCGCATACTCGTCATGCTGGTGAATCCGGAGACAAGCGCTCCGTGACGGCAAGTGCACAGCTAGCCGAACCACTTAATCTACATACCTCAACGTCACGCCTCTTCGCCGCTCTGGAGCCGCGTTTCGTGCCCTAGGAATTTGACCTCTTGCTTCCGACTTCTTGTATAGGTCCACTAGGCAACTTTCCAAACAGTTCAGAGCTGGAGATCCTGGCTCTTCATTGGTGTGAAGCGCCGATCTAAAACCGCGAAACGACCACTATCTTGCTTGTTGCTGTTCTTGGGGACTAACATGACGATGCAACTTCACGCTGCTGCCGCGGAACGTGGACTCCTCGACTCTCAACAACATAGGGTTTCTAACAGAGTAAAAGCTGCCTCTCCTGTTCAGCCGATCACCATATTGTGCTATCTCTCCCAACGGCAAGTCCTTATCCTTGACACACAGTCAATATCAAGACCCGGACGGCCATAGGCTATGCTTCGCGAACAGTGATGTTGCGCAATGCGCATCACTGCTCCACTAGATTTCTGAACGTGTTCTCTCAGGTTCTCTTGTGAGTGACCCCACCTTTCAGCACGACTGTGGTGGACGCCACCGCTTCGGGGTCTACGAGACAGCTTCGTTCACGAACAGTCGCTCGCGACGTGTGATTCCTGGTGCTCTTTATGGACCTCCTCTGCCCTGCAGCCATCGTGCATTTCAAAACCGCAAACAGTCTGCTGACTATCACCTCGTCTTCTCTCACCATCGATAACACTGCTCGCACGCTCTCTTATCTACTGGACCTGGCACTTTCCCTCCATCTCACCCCCCTTGTGTCGTCGATCCTCGATCATCGCTCCCGGTGACTAGCTCTAACTAGCAACCCTTGTAACAGAAAATCACCATGTCTGCGCCGACACTCGATATCGTCGCCGTCCGCGCCGCCTTCCCCGCTCTCGCCTCCGGATACCTCTATGCCGACAACGCGGGCGGATCGCAATGCCTCGCGACCGCCGCACACGCGATCACGGATTACCTCCTGAACACGAACGTCCAGCTCGGCGCCGATTACTCGGTCTCGGTCGTGAGCACGCAGCGCGTCGCGGCGGGTGCAGAAGCGGCGCGCGAGCTGTTCAACGCAGAGAGCGCGGACGAGGTGGCGTACGGGAGCAGCTCGACGATGTTGGTGGAGAACTTGGCGAGAGCCGTCGAGGGGGATGTTCTAGAGGGAGAGGAGATCGTCATCACAGGGGAGCACGAATGTAAGCATTCCATTCATTCTGCTTGACACAGTTCCGATGCCTGTGCGAAACTCACAACACGGTAGCGAACGCGGGACCGTGGAAGCGACTTGCAGCGCGGAAGGGCGCAACCATTAAGCTCTGGAATGCGACCCAGCTTGCGGCGTACCCGAACAATACCTACGCCGTCGGCCTACAACTCGACGCGCTCCTCCCGCTGATCTCAGCCAAGACGCGCGTCGTTGCGTTCACTGCCTGCTCCAACATCCTTGGTTCTATCATCCCCGTCGCAGAGATCGTGAAGGCGATCAGGGCGCGGGGCGCGGAGCTCGGTGTGCGGAAGCTAGAAGTGTGCGTCGACTGCGTCGCGTACGCGCCTCACCGGCCGGTAGACGTGCGCGCGTGGGACGCCGACTACGCGTACTTCTCGTTCTACAAGGTGCGTCTTCGCCCCACTCACTAATCCTGTCGTACTCACGTCTACGTTCCCCAACGTAGGTCTACGGCCCCCACATCTCCGTCCTGTACGCCCGGCGCGCCTCCCTCGTCTCCTCGCTCTCATCCCTCGGGCACCACTTCCTCCGCGTGCACGATAAACCATACAAGCTCCAGCCGGGCGGGCCTGGGTACGAGCTGCCGTGGGGCTGCACGCCCGTCGTGCCGTACCTCAAGTCGCTCACGCCGAGCGGGACACTCGAGGACGCGTGGCTTGCGGTAGCGCGACAAGAGCAGACACTATTGAAGGATCTGCTCGGGTACCTGAGAAGCAAGTATGAGCGAGGCGTGCGGATCGTCGGGGACGAGCGGGAGGGCGAGACGAGGGTGCCGACGGTCAGCTTTGTCGTTGCGGGCGAGCGGCCGATCAAGAGCAAGGACGTGGTTGCGTTCTTTGATAAGAAGCCGAATGTACGTACCTCTCAGGGTTGTTTTCTGGAGGTACTGACGCGCGTCTGGCATGTGTGCAGGTGGGCATCCGTTATGGTCACTTCTACGCGTACACCCTCGTCGACACCTTGCAGCCGAAGCTGGATGCGGACGACGGCATCATTCGCATATCGCTGGTGCACTACAACACTGTGGAGGAGGTGAAGCGGATTGTCGAGATCCTGGAGGAGGTCCTTGTATGAAGGCACGTAGAGGGTGGCATAGGATGTGGTGCGTGTACGATATGTCAATTCCCAATTTGCACATTTGATGTAAGTTATACATCGTACGGCATGATCTAAGCCCCCGGTCATTCGAACTGAACCGAATCCTTGGACGCATTAGTGGTACAAAAGGTACTGGGGGCGGTTGATGGTGTCTGTCAGGTGTCTTTCTCATCCTATGAAGCAGGCACCCTTCAAAGTTATGAACATGAGGTCGATTGATGTCGCCTGACTGTCAGTCGCGTTCTCCGAGCTGCAGAACGTGTTCCGGCGGCTTGCCCAAAAACACCGGGTTGAGCCCCGCCGCCGTCCAGCATGACGCCCTTGCGAGTGCACTACAGTATATCGTCCTTCCTGCAGAGACCAGGTTACTTCCTCGCGGCCACAACACTTCGAAGCCTTTTGACCGGAGTACGGAGATTCAGACCTTCGCATGTCTGCCATTGCGTTGTCTTGTCGCAGTGCGTGCTCTGGGGATAGACAGATCCAGGTCAAGGTCCAGCTGATCAATACGTATGTAATAATTATCCAGGCGCGCGGCCCAGAGTCCGGGTTTCCATAACCGATGTCAGACACGCGCGCGGCTCCTGCAGCGCGTAGCCTACACATGCAGCCCAGTACGCTATATAGTAGCAATGTTATACACGAACAACATATTCTTAGGTCGAGGGTGAGTCGCCGTATGTGTCGAGCATGCATTGATATATACTCTTTGTAGATTGCCAGTGCCCTTCACGAACCCGCAGGCCCTCTGCCCAGTTTGCTAACGCTGACGACTGTACTCTAACTCTTGACTCCTACACAGATGTCGACCTCCCCAACGTGATTATGATCAACCAGGACTCCCATGATACCAAAGGTGGTCAGGACGGCTTCCCCGCTTCGTCCAAGCAAGATCTGCCATCTACCACCGCAGGCACCCTCGATGCAGGCCCGTCCAACGAAGCTCCCCCACCAACATACGAAGAGGCAGTAAATGCTCTAGACCTCGCTGATGCCAGTGCCTCCAGGTCGGGCGCATTCGGTATGCTTATGCCCACGCCCCCCGTCGAGCCGAGCCTATCGAGTTGTCAATCGAACGCAGTGCTGACAATGTTGAGCGAGGAGAGGCGCATCATGCAAGATGGAAAGCATACACCTTTCCCATATGCGAATTCCAGTATGATGGGGTACGGCGCGCTTAGTCGTCGTTCGCCCAGGTGTCCCAAGATTCAGAGACAGACTTAGGACGCCACCTCTCTGTCGCGAGCTACTACGCCCCTTCCGTCTCGACGTCGCGCACCGAGTTACTCTCCAATCTCCCGCTTCATCCGTCTCCTCATCGCGATTCTTGGATGAGCGGGGTGCCCGCGCGGGCATGGTGCGCTCTACCTCCACACCTACGTCGCAAATTGGGTCCTCGCACGGCTCTCACTCCGAATTGAATCGTGATGGCTCTTGGCACCCTCAGGCCCGACCCGCTCCGACGTCGACACGCACCGAGTCCTTCGCGCGTGCGCCACCCCACCGACTGTCTTACGGCCCATTTCCTCACGCGACGCTCTATGCGTATTCCGATGACCTGCAGAGAGACGGCTTCCCGCGCGAGCCGCCGACGTGCGCGTGCGCCCCGGAACCGCATCCGTTCGTGACGCACGATGTGAAAGAGGACGACTGGGCGAGCTTCTTAGAGGACTTGAAGGGTGCTGGGGGCCTCACTCCTGTTAATTCGATCGTCGCTGGCGCTGCGCCCATCGCAGTGAGGGCTGGATTCATTGGAGGTAAGTACTGGCGTTCGACGTGACCTGGGGACTAGGCCCTTGAGTATAAGGTGCTGATGGAGATTTCGATAGGGTTCATTGCGGGCCAGGCGCTGCGTGCGCATGTCAAAAGCAAGCGGAAGAGCCCTGTCGCAGATATGATTGATGAATGGAACAGGGTATGTAGAATGTGTCTCACTCTCCAGACTTGCTGGCTCACGAGCTATCCATGGACTCGACAGAGGTTCTTTCACCTACGCTGCATGGATGTTGTCCTCGCGCAAGGCACAGTCGCCTACACAGGCGCTGCTGACGCTCCACCGCTAGATATGGCGTGGCGTACACGCGAGAAAGACAAGGGAAAACATGTGAAGACATATGATAACACCTCTGATGACGAGGGTAGTAGTCGGAGTATAAGTCTTCTAGGAGTAGGGATGGCGGACTCGATGGGAAAACAGCTGCGGCCGGCGATATCGATGAGAGAGCGAGGAGTAGGACGGAAGGCACTCTCAAGGGACTTGAGGGTATCGGCAGGGGAAAGATGGAGGCTGATCATCTCGTACAACCCTCCCGTAATATGAACACTTTATGAGCGTGCTTCTTCTTCTTCTTCTTCTAGATCCCGTTTATTGCCCTGCGAGGCCGAGCCTCATGGTAGGCAGTAAATACATTGTTGTCTACTTGGGTGATGATGGAGGTCGGCGGGACATAGTTGAGCAGGATGCTCATGCAATCTAAGGGTGTGTGGTGGGAGAGATGTCGATGAGGGATGGTGCAAGGGGATGTGCCAGGGTACAGACAGGGGCGAGAGTGAGACGTTCGAGTACGTAAATGGTGTGGAAGGGGGCAGGGCTCAGGAAAGGTGCGTTGCGGACGTCCGCCCAGTCCCGGCCATTTAAGGCAAGGGAACGGGCTATAAACCTGCGGCCTTTGGGTGCGGTTGCGCCCCTGGGTCTCGCCTCTTGCGCCGGTCAGGTGTACGTCTGGCGGTATCCCCGCCATCCGTCAGAACTCCCCCGCCCCTAGAGCGGGCGGGCGCCCGCAGCGCACATTTCCGGTGGGATCTACGAGAGCGCAGTGAATA